CCTTTCACACTGTGTTGTTGAGGTTTCTTCGGAGATTGTGTGCAAGAACTTCTGTTGCTTTCACCCCTCCAATTAGAACTGGTCCATTTCTTCGTCGTCTGTTTGCTGTGTTTAGCTGAAGACTTTGTTTATCTTCGCATCCTTTAACCACCTCATTCAGATCGAGAATGGAAGCGCTTGGAGAACTCATCGTCGAGTTAGAGTTTGTTGAATACTGCCTAGTCTTGCAGTTCCCTCAGGGGTACATTCAACCAGCATGGCACATAGACGGGGCATCCCCAAATCTGCTGAGCGCTTTTTGCCTTTAGATGCTGGGTAGTTCAGTCTGGATATCAACCTTTGTGACTGCTGTCAATGAATTTCGAGCCTTCATCCAGTCTAACAAAGCTAAAGACGTAGAGCGCTTAGTGAGGATTTAGTCGCAGATGGATATCATTAATGATTGCCGGGAAACCACCGTCGCGTCCTACCGGAATGGGCTCCTGCGCAACTCCTAAGTCCTCATCTGATCTATTCATCATATTATGCAACTTTTAGTTTAAGTTAATTATAATAAATTTCTGCAACACACCCTCGTGAAATTTTTAATGCTGTCGATGGTTGAGTAAAGCGTGTAAACTAGCTGTTGAGAGCAGAAGAGATCAGAAGGTCAGAGACCTAATATCATCATTCGAACGGCATCCTTTTGAAAGCGGTGGCGTTTAGAGTCGTGAACTATAGCCTGGAGACAAATCGAGCTTCCAAACATGACTTGATCGACTACTTATTATAAAGGCTTCTTGACAGACATTCCAATGCGTTGATGGTAGAATTGAATAATGAATAAAAAATTTTGACAAAACTGTCAAAGTTAAAAATATTTCCTAAATTTTCTCGTCGTGTAATCGAGAGACAAGAATCGGGAAGGCGGACAAGTTTTCGACGTTGCATGTGTTTTATGCTTAAGAAACCTGTAACGCCAAATATTTATTAAAACACCATTTTGCAACCATGTTACACGTTAAATAATCTCGACAACCAAACTGAATAATCTGTTGCTTCAGTTGCTACTTTCTCATCTATGGTATGAAGCAGTAAAATTATACCAAAATTATAATTTATGTGACATTTATAAGACGTTCAACACAAAACACATCAGCAGCTACATAATATTGAATTAAATAAGTTATTATGTACTGGATAACGTTACGGTTCGTAATGAACCGCGCAGTAAATTATAAATGTAACATTATGTTCATGTATCATACCATGAATCGAGAAGAAGAGGGGAATTGCCGAGGAGAGTTTAGAAACACTCTGCTCTCCAAACCTTGTGTAGATTTTCATGACTTTCCCAAAACAACCCATCATTATCGTTATCCGACTTGTCCTCATTATGGATACCCCATGAACGCACGCCGCATTCGTCCAAATCATTTTGCTTCCGGCTTTCTGCCTCCACTGCTGGCAAGTAATTTGACCATCAGATCATCCCCACGTGTCTAGGAAGACTGAGTTGAGGGATATGACCCAACGGAACTCAGTCTGCATTTTTTGACATCTACCGGACATCAGGCGACCGACGTGGTGGAACGAAAAAATCACCTTTCTTAAATCAGTCCGTTGACGAATTTGAGCTCCAAAAAGATCATCCCGGAGATAAACCCATTTTTTCATTCGTCGCTCATTGAGTGACAGTCAGTTAGTTCTCCTTAGTTTAGTAGAAAACAAACTTGCAGAGCCATACTTCATAACCTAAACTTAAAATAATGTCAAGGCCGTGTAGGTCTTATGCTTTGAAGGAGAAAACCTCACGCTGCTTACGTATTACTAATTCTTACTTGAGAATGGGAACCATGAAATTTGAATCTTAAGACGAAATGACTTGCTAAATGCACATGCTAATAGAACACTAAGAGCAGGCAAGAACACAGTTGAGAAATGCTCTGTACGGCCGTCATGACTAATGTAACTGCTAAAACAAACAAACTTAAAAGTATCAGAAAAATAGGCACATAGAAAAAAGTTTTTTTCGAGTTCTCCACGAGAGGCTAAGCTATTTGAACTGAATGCACGAGGAAACAACGGCCAGGGTTAAGAACAGAGAGGACGTTGACGCAGATGGAGGTCTTTCGGTGTCTCACCCTCAAGATACCAGATTCGTTTGTAAACGCCGTATGTTTCCCAATTAACCATCGATTCCCCTCTGTGAGTGAAGTTCCCCCTTGTGAGCTTCAGTGCAATCAGGAAAAGTACAGATGAAATGACTACAATGGAGACATGCTCGGAGTTTTGGCAGTGTGTCTGAAAAACGTATGGCTAAGCAGTCTGCAGCTTTCCATCATGGCTGAAACTTAACCTGGCCGTCTCGATAGCTGATTAAATGAGAACAAAGTCTAAGCCAAGAATTAAGACACTGTGATAGAACAAACTCGTACGTATGATTGTTCAATGAAGATAATGGTGTGTAAGCGTAACGTTTCAGAGTACATAACTACCGGAGGCTGTTGATGCTTAAAGTTTTTACTACTTTTGATAAAGTTTCTGATTCCTGTGATTTTCAGGTCAATTATTGCGTTTTTTCTAAAGTGATCTACGCATAACAAGATGGTCTATCAAGAATAAGTGCCAAATGGAAGTGAATTATTAAATTTGCCTGTGTCAGTCAACATCTGAGCTCTAGGATTCACAAGGGACTTTCGTATTGCCGCAATAAGGCCACTCTTTTCCAGCATGCTAGGTGAAACGCTTCCCTTAGAAATGCAATACCTAAAATGTGTAACAGCGCCTGAATGGGCCGGATCTATTCGCCTTCCGGAACGTCCCGTTACGTCACGACTGAACACCTCTTGACCACCGGGAATTGCTTG